GTATAGTGTTGTATCAGTGGGAGTTTCATAGAGCTATTGACTGAGGAAAAAATTTTTTTGTAAAAGATCTAAAAGGAAATACCACAATGATAATTCTAAATTTTAAGCTTTTTTGGTATTTCCTACATTCTTGTTTTTTAGTTTTCAAAGTAAAATGACATACTACCACAAATAATGGGCAGTGATAGGAATGTGTTCTGGAGATCTTACGACAGTGGCTTACAGCAAAGTAAAACAAACTTTTATCCATTTCACTTTCCTGTGTTTTAGCTTTTATTCTAATGAACAGAATTATAAATACCTAAAATGACTATGTTAAATAACTTTTCTAAAGTTTAAAGATAACATGTAGGTAGGCAAGGAAAATTTAGTACAAGTACACATATACATGCAAACAATATAAAGATTTGAGTACAGTGTTCTATACTTTACTATATATACAAGCATTAGCATCTGAATTCGATTTGATTACCTTCTTCTCAATCTGATTAAATATAGGTAAACATCAATACCTGGATTTGATTACCTCCTTCTCAATCTGATTAAATATAGCTAAAGATGAAAATCTAGATTTGATTAAATTTTTTCTCTACTTACCTAGACCATTCTTTTGGCTAAAACCCTTTCCACAAATGTGGCATGTGTAAGGACGTTCTCCTGTGTGTACTCGCATGTGAATTATCAAGCTGCTACGACACTTGAAGATTCGTTTACAAACTTGACATGTCGATACACTTCTAGACTTCTTTTGACTTTGTTTCTGTTGCTGAACTGAAAAATGGATAAAATGAACTATTTCTTTTTATATAAATGTCTATGTTAAGATAATATAATGAGAATATAAAACAAAACAGAGATTAAAACAGAAAGGAATCAATTTATTTCACATGTTTTTATATCTGTAATCTGAACGATATCCTAGTTTTACATAGCAGCTTTTTGGATGAATGAGCCTCTATAAAAAATTACCGGGTGTGGCCAATTTATTAAAATACAAGTGGTTGTCCTCTTTTTATGTGGGTTTATCAAACAACACTGAGATTAGCTACTTGTCTTATAAAAGATAATTACTTCTTCTAGCACCTTAATTAAAAAAAAAACATCACCAAGAATCTCTGGATATTTCATTATTACATGTTTGAGATAATTAGAAAAAATAACAACATTCTAAACTAATTAAACATAAAATGTTTCATGTTCATTCTATCCGAGTAATGAAACAAAAGGAACCAGGGAAGTTTTAAGAAGTTATACTTAGGGTTCAACAAGGCTACTGTCTCTCACTGTGCTGCTGGAAAGAAAGAGGAAGAATGTATAAAAGAAAGAGTAGAATGGAATGAAAGACAAGCCAGGAGATAAAAAAAACATAACAGGGGGGGATAGGTGAATTTTTAAAAAATGAAATTAAAGAAACTAAAATGACTACGAGTAGAGAAGAGATACTTCTTGTGCACATCCCAAACATGGGAAATGCTGATTTCAAGGTCACAAACGTTAAAAATAAAAGGAAGAAAAACTTAACAACCTACATTTGTACAAACGCAGCAAAATAACTTCTGTTCTAGGGTCGACCTCAGTTTTTCAGTGAAAAAAAAATAGTATCAATGTTCATCATTTAATGTTTAATTACAAAGATATGCACTCATAATTAAAGCATATACAGAAATAAGTATAAACATAATAGCTAAATGTGGGAAAAGAACAGGGTTTTTATAAACAAGTTGTTAAGAAAACAAATACATATACCAGTCTTAAATAATTAATCTATTATTGTAGTATCTTTTATAATATCCTACAAAGTTATGTTAATCTATGAAGTTAAGTCCCTTAAAAATATTAAAATTTCAAAAACTGCAAACCTTTAAAACTCTGTTCAGAGAATTTAAAATATTACATGCTGAAAATTATTGTTTGGGCAAATCAAATAATCCTAAATTAAAATGCTAAAACCACAAAAAAAAGGGGGTGAGAGAAACCCTGTTTTTGCTTATCATGTGAGCCAAAATGAACAGCATGCTAAAAACTTACAAGTGATTAATATTTATTTGGTTAGCTTAAACATTTCCTTTTGATACTAATAAATAAACGTTTTACTATTTGAATTTCTAAAGTCGTTTCAATGAGAACAAAGAAAGGATTATGTTATCAACTGTGACATCCATTATTAACTGTGCCCGGCATGGCCAGGTGGATAAGGCGCTCGACTCACAATCTGAGGGTCGCGGGTTCGAATCCACATCCCACCAAACATGCTCGCCCTTTCAGCCGT